AATAACCCTCTGTTCCACTGTGGCCAAGGCTACTTCCTCGTTAATGCAGGGGCAGGAATATAGACCTACAAAAACACATATTACAGAACAAAACAAAAATGAGAATATTTTGCAAAACAGTAGAAAAATTGGTACTGATAAGGGAGATTAAACCTCTATAAGGAACTTTTCAGTGCTATGTGTGAAAATCCTTTTAGAAACCATAATCTTCTAACACCAGGTTAAAACTGCCAGATTTCTGTGCAGATGAATTTAAATAGGCTCAAAACATGCTACACACATACGTGTTTTGAAACCAGAGATGGATGGAAAGACGAAATTGAGATATCAAGTTACTCCATATTGTTACGGAGATGATTTAGTTAAAGTCTGACTATGCTGGCAATACTTGTAATTCAAAGAGATAAGAAACGTATTCTCTAAATACCCAAGTATGAATGTGCACCCAGTGCTTTACCTGATGTGGGATTGGGAGAGTGGGGTATGCCATAGGGCACTGTTCATTCACAGGCCGCCGCATTTACATGTCCATAATTAGAGCTGTTCTAAATACTAAGATGCATAGATGTTCAATACACTTTAGAGTAAGTCTTAAAAAATAAAGTTTATGGTCCTTCTTCTTTTAAAAGCCTGGTCTGATTTTCACGGCACCCTATGAAAAAGGCAGAATGTGTGTGAAGCTGTGTCTCTCCTATAACTGTTCAGTAGGAGTGTTTCAAGAATTCTAAGATTATATTTAAGGCTTAGAGCAGTATAGTTTGTGGGAAAAAAATGTTGGTTCAGACTAGGAAGTTGGGAAACTTGTGGAATGATGAAACCTAAAATTCACCAAAAAGAAGCCAAAGTGCAGGGACTCAGGGCTGGGAGTGGGCCTGCCCAGGAGCTGGAGAACAGCCAGCAGGATGAAGTGGCCCAATGAGAGGCTGGCCAGGAAGCAAGAACACAGGCTCCAGACCTGCACAGCCACATTCTGTCTTGAGCTATATCTAACAAGTGTTGTGAAATGACTTTTGCATACTAATGGAAAATAATTTTGCTGCTATACAAAAGAAACAAAAACAAAGGTCAGGATGGGGTTCCTTAGCCTGCCCTCACATGTTTTTCCACGACATATTTCAGATGGATAATTGCTAAGCCCCCTGTCTATGTGAAATATTTTTGTTATGCAACAGCAGATAACGTTAATTAGATTTTTAGTTCATGTGTATTTTTAGCTATCAGGTCCTTCACTGTACATTGTCTATCTTCTCCCCTCTTGTTCCCTTGTCTTGAGCACTCTTTAACAATCATCTAATAGAGGACTCAACAGGACACACCAATGAGCACTAGAATGTCTGTCTTATGTTTGGAACTGCTAGAGAAATGTTCAGTGAAATCCATCACACCCCTCTTACACAGTGTGTTTGACCTCCAGATAATGTTAAGCGCTTCATCCCTCAATGTGTTTAATTTTAATCCTGCCGAGACGAAAGTCATTGCTTGAATTACAAGACTGAGTCTCGTTAAGGCTGAAAAGCAGTGACCCAGATAACATAATGGATTAATATGGAGACCTTGCAATTTTAGAGCCTTGCTTTCAAATCTGTCTGTGCCGGCAAGTCACTGCAATAGTCAATCAGTTGGTTAATGCCTGTCTGTATGCATTCTGAGAACAGTAGTTAGGAGAGTATTCTGGCTATTCAATAAAGGATTAAACTAAACCAGGGAGAGTGTCTTGTAGACATGACATGGGTACTCTACCCCTGATATCTCAACAATACGGTTGGTTGCCTAAGCAAGGCAAGAATGATGATTCCAGCAGTAGACATGCCAACAAAGATGAAGGAAATCCACAACCCCAAGCATAGATGAAGAGCTGCAGTAGTGGTTTCTCGAGGTACAACCTCCCTGATAGGTTATCCAATCCCCACTGGTCAGCCATAAACATAAAAAAGCAACACTAAATGGACTAAGCAGGTTTTATGAACATACACCTTTATATTTGTGTGTATATATATATTAATATATTATATATAATAACTGCAGAATGGGGATGAGAAAAGTTGGGAGAAGGAGTAAAAATGATATCAGTACAATATATTCTTGTGTGAAACTCTCAAAAAATTTTAAAAATATTTAAACTAACAACACTCACTCTTTTATTTTCTCCTAAAACCTCCTTAAATGATCAAAATTAAAATACATGGTTTAATGGATGACTGTAATGCTAAAATCCCTAATGATTTTGTAATTTGGATAGCATTCTAACAAGCACTAGAATGTTCACATTTTCATAACATAAATATATACAATGTTATATTATATAAGTTAATAAGATGTCTTATCAGAGCAAAAAATTTAAGTACATTGAGTTGGTCTTGGTAGATGAAGTGCGATGTTGACCAAATTATCCAGGTGTGGTTTTGGATTTGCTATAATGAGATTAAAATCCAGGTCCTTGTCCATGACAGATCAGCCCTCTACCACTGAGCTATATCCATGATTTGTCTTTTAGTATTCTTTTGGATAATGTATAAGTTAGAATATTGTATAGCATAAGAAATTAATGTGGATGTAGGACATATGCAGTTTAAAGAAAAAAAATTCAGCTGAGTATGATAGCATGTACCTCTACCCTTAGCACTCAAGAGGCTGAAGTAGGAAGATCATGAATTCCAAACTGGCCTGGGCTTGCATAGTGGGATCCTGCTAAGGAAAATGTACCAGTACACAGAATAAGGATATTGTTTATTTATTGTGAGAAATTACTTTTACGGGAAACTAAAAACCCAGGTTAGTCTCTGCAGCCTTTAAGTCCTGACTGGAACCCCGAAACAGAGCAAGTGACTCTCTCCTCAGCCCTTTATTACACATGCCTGTACGAACCTGTGGGCATACCAAAACAGGTGTGGTCAGCGTGACAGGTGCCTAGATCTCTCTCTACAATTCCCCTTTTAGTATAAAGAAAAGATTTAGACTTGAAGCAAAACTAAATTGTGTCAATATACAAAATGTCTTAAACATATGTAAAACCATATATACATAGATGATGATAAGGATATTTATGCACCAAAAATTATAAAAAGAAAGAAAACCTTACACAGTATGACAAAATTGCTATTCTGGATGGTAGATTAGCTACTGAGAAGAAATCAAATGTAACTGGAGGAAACAAAAAAGGTATATTTTGTCAAATTTCTACAAAGGATCAGAGGCCTAAGCTACAAGTTAAAATAAATAACAAAGTGATTATAGGCATTTTGGACACTGGTTATGATGTAAGAATGATAACTCAAAAATCTTGGCCTCCAAGATGGCCCCTACAAGAGGTAAACATTCAATTTTTAGAGATTGGAACCCTATCTCAAGTAAAACAAAGAATGAGATGGGTTGAGTGTATAGGGACAGAAGGACCAACAGGAAGACTGAGGCCAAATGTCACAGACATCACAATAAATCTCTGGGGTCGTGTTCTATTTCAGCAATGGAATACCAAGATTAACATTCCTCCAGTATCAGATATGAATCATAAACAAGGTCTTGGTGGTAGAAAAAATAGTGTAAGATATGACAGAAAGCAAATAACAACCATCCAGGCTATACATAAAAAGAATATGAGTGCCAAACATACAGAGGAACCAAACACTCTACCCTTCAAATCGCTAACAGATGAACCAGTCTGGGTAGAGCAATGGCCTATGAAATGTGAGAAGCTAGAGGCTTTAAAAACCTGGTTCAGGAACAGCTAAATGCTGGACATATTAAAGAATCGGATAACACTTGGAATTCTCCTGTATTTGTTATCAAAAAGAAATCTGGTCAATGGAGAATGCAGACCTGAGACTCATCAATAAAGTAATTCAGCCTATGGGCTCTACAGCCTGGGATACCCTTGCCTTCTCTGTTACCTAAAGGAGGGCATAGTATAGCAATTGATCTAAAAGACTGCTTCTTTACTATACTTTTACAAGTAAAGGATAGGAAAAAAATTGCCTTCATGGTGCCGACTTACAACAATTCTCATCCAGTTAACAGATATGAATGGAAGGTTATGCAACAGGGAATGTTAAGTAGTCTCATCCTGTGCCAATGTTTTGTGCAAAAGCCTTTGGAAATCATTCGCAAACAATTTCCACAATCCATAATTTACTATTATGTGGATAATATATTGTTGGTTGATTCGAAGGAAGGAACATTGGAAAAGATGTTTGAGACAGTAAAGGAACTTTACCTTGCTGGATTACAGATTGCACCTGAAAACATACATAGAGGAGATTCTGTCAATTATTTAGGTTATAAAATAGATCTACAAAAAAATTAGAGCACAAAAATTACAGATCAGGAGAAATCACTACCAGACTCTTAATGATCTTCAAAAATTACTAGAAGTATCTCAATTACAGACAATTATTGGTGTAAAAGGGCATGATTTAAAACATCTAAAAATGGCCCTAAAGGGAGAAAAGGACTTAAATAGTCTACGAATATTATCAGCTGAAGCCGAAAAAGAACTAGAATGGGTAGAAAAGAGAATACTAGAAGCACATGTGGACCGTGTGGATCCAGAACTAGACTGCATTCTGGTTATTTTACTATCTAGAGAATACCCCTCAGTAATTTTGATGCAGAGGGAAGATGTCATATTAGAATGAATATTTCTGCCACATAAACAGAATAAAAAACTGAGGACATATATATAAAAGATCTCTGATTTGATTTTAGAAGGCAAATTAAGGCTTTGTCAACTAACTAGAAGGAACCCAGCAGAAATTATAGTACCTTTAACTAATGAGGAAATTTCCTTCTTATGAAAGGACAATGATTATTGGCAGAGGAATTGCAATAACTTTTTGGGAAGGATTATGAACAATTATCCCAAAACGGGCATGGTCAGTGCCACAGGTGCCTAGACCTCTCCTTAAAAGATCCTTTGTCAAAAAGTCAAAATTTAAAAATAAAAATACAAGAATCTTTCAGGAAACATGTTTCTGAAAATATGTCTATTTATTCATTTATTTTAGATGCAAGATATCGGGAACACCGAAGGAGCTCAGTATGGCTCCCATCCTCAGATGGCAGCCATGAGGCCGAGAGGCCAGCCTACAGACATCAGACAGCAGGCCACCATGATGCAGCATGGCCAACTGACCACCATCAACCAGTCCCAGTTGAGTGCACAGTTGGGCTTGAACATGGGAGGAAGCAACGTTCCCCACAACTCCCCTTCTCCCCCTGGGAGCAAGTCTGCAACCCCTTCACCTTCAAGTTCAGTGCATGAAGATGAGGGTGATGACACCTCCAAGGTATGATCTGCTTTTGAACTGTGAGAGGACATGTTTATATCTTCCCCATGAGAAATATTGGTGGGAAGCATGTACTTCGTTAATGAAGCATGAGGTTACAAACTCACTGGATTTAACCACATGCTTACCCATTACACTTTTAAGTTCCCTGCATGTTCTTTCAGTATGCATTTATATATCACACAAAGGTCATTTTGGCTCTTAAAATGTATGGTATGCATAGTGAGTAAGGCTAAATAAATTGACTTCTGCAATCAAGCCTATCTTACGACTGTCCAAAAACATTTTTTCTGTAGAACCATTTGTTTTCCTTGCCAGGATCTCATGTAGCACAGGCTAGTCTCAAACTCCTGAGGTGCTGTATAGCTGAGGAGGACCTTGAAATTCTGATGGCCAAGTTTCCACTTTCTGAGTCCTGGGACTAAAAGTGTGTACCTCTGCCAAGTTGTTGAATGCTGGGAAAGCACCACACCAAACCATGCCATAGCTCCAGTCGTATTGCACTGTACAAAGCGAATGTCCTGCAGTGTGTGTGTAGGGAGTGAAGATGGGCATCAGAATGTGTGCTGGAATGTAGTTAGATAACAGCCTCAGATCACCTAACCCAACTCTTCCACACTAGTAATGGGAAGGGAAGAAGATGACTTTGCAGGACAGACCTAGGTGTGAACCTTTTGTGGTCCCTATGGCTCTATCACTAGATGCTGTTTTTTAAATCATTTGGGTGGGAAATTGTTTTTTAAATGCACTTGTAAGAGAAAATCGGCTGAATTTTCCTTTAAATTCCTTTAAAGTTGTTTAAGAAAATTGTTCCTTTAAAAATAATACTTTGAAAAGAGAAACGAAAAGCAAATGACTACACCAAAACCCTGTATGCTTTTGCCTGAAAACCCCAAAGCTTAGCGTTCCTGTCCCTTTCCTAATTACCAATGAAGCACTGCCCAGATTTATCCTAGTGAGAAGGATGTATGTCTACCCACTGTGAAATATCCCAACAGTACACAAATACTGTCTTTCTATTTGCATTCTTTTTTAAAGATTTATTTTATTTTTAATTATGTAGAGGCAATGGGTGGACAATATGAAAGTACCCCAGGAAGCCAGAGGCTTTGGATCTCACAGAGACTGTTGCTGCAGGCTTTTGTGAGCTGCCAGATGCAGGTGCCAAAAACTAAACTCGGGTCTTCTGCAAGAGCAGTACAGGCTCTTAACTGTTGGACCCTCCCCCAATACCTGTCTCTTGTTTATTTAAGAAGCTTCCTAATAAATAGTCAGGTGTGTCAGTGCTCTGTTTTCTTCTCACCTTCACAAGTATTTTATTTGAGGGGAAGTTAACCTGCCAACATACTACTAAAGGCAATGTAATGGGATCTAATCTATACTACTAAAGGCAATGTAATGGGATCTAATCTATGTGATTGACTGGCAATATCTACATTAAACTCTTAACAGTTAAGATGATTATAATTGATAGATTATTCGCTTTATTGACAGCAGTGCACTGACAGCATTTTCTTATTTCTGTACTCTTGATGACCTAGTATTCGGAAGTTCTTAATCTCACAGTAACTGTACAGTTGGCTGCCATAAATGACTCCACTGTGAGGCCCCCTGTGATATACAAGCCAGCTAACTCAGAACTCTCACACACCAATTTAGTATTCCCCTGCTTCATACTAGGGCTAGGGCCAGCCAACAATAACCTAACTAGAAAACCCATAATCTGCTTACACTGTACCAGGCCTTTCCCTGCTCTCTCAGCATGCCCTACAGCCTGCCAGCTCCTGCCCACGAAACTGCTGACACATGCTCTGTGCCATTGTTGTCCTGGTCCTTTGTGTCCCTCATTGACTTGAGTCCCACTCCAGGTGACCATGTGCTGAGTTGTGACTCCTGTTCTTCACATCTGTGAATGTAAACTTCTCCCTTCTTGGAAGCCACTTCCATGTTTTGCTAATTTCTCCAACAGAATAAAATCTAATCCTAGGTACAAATCCTAGTGTCTCTGCACACTTATCTGGTTCTGTTACTTCATAGTCAGGCCTGTGGTAAGTGAGGTAGTGTACATGGACAAAAAGAAGTACTAATAGAAGGCTAGTTAATAATAAATAAGCCACTGGGCTCATAAGAGCTTGGACATCAGCCGGCTGTTTAGATGGCAAAGACAGTTTTCCTAAGAAAGTATGGATTATTCTAATAGTACCTAGCAACCACTGGCTGCCTGGATCCAAGTATGAGCACCAACCATATTCATATGTCCAGAGATTTGTGGGTTCTAGGCAATCACCTAGACAGAAATGATACGAGCTGTATTATACCAGGAGATAATTATGTTCAGCTCACAGTAATACTCAATTAGTGCATCCAGAATGTGTCTTTGTCAGATTTTCTTCCTGACAATTCAAAAAGTTAATGCAAAATTTTTAGTGTCTTCTAACAATAAATTGTATATAGGGTATGTCTTAATTATTGAAAAATTCTATATGTTCTTCAACTTAAATGGGTGGACAGGAACTTGAAATTGCATTCTGCCATTTACTTCTAATCACTTAGCAACACAGCTTGTAATTGTCCCAAGGCATAAATTTGTTTATTATAAACCACCAAATTGGTGTTAAATTTTACCAGTGAGTTTCCTATCCAATCATCGAATACCTACATCTCAAAAACATGTAGAGGTCTCAAAGTAGCTGTAACCCTTTGTGGTCCTTACCAGGGACTCTTGAGTGATTGATGTGGGTGAGGGGCTGAAGAAATGAATTTCTCAACAACATCCCTGGTTTTTGTTGTTGTTGTTGTTTGGTTTGTTTTTTAATAGCTTCTTTTCTTTTATACATCTCACAAAAATTCAGGCCCTAATACAATTCTGAATGATGCTACTCACAGTATATTCAGAATTTCTCTTCCGTTAATTTAAGCTACTTTGGACTGCTAGAAAAAATCTATGCTGAAAGTGCCTAGGCATTTTTAATGGCAGTTAAGAATTGCATGGCACTTTTTCCTTTATGTGTGTAGGATTTGTATATAATGTTGTACCAGTACAACTCTAGTTAAATGTGAAATAGCATTAGGTAAAAAGATCATAAAAATCATTTTTAACTAGTGAACTAAACAGGAATATTGAATTCCACCCCAGAGAAAGTGATTTTCAGAACCCCTCTTACCACACCATGCTGTCTTTAAGCAATTACATATTGATTCCAGTTTATCTAATTGAACAATTAAATGGAAAATTCTGTTTTGACAGAAAAAATATTGTAAATACACCAGCAGAATTAATTATCACCTTCCAAATGCCACCCATGGCTTTGATTGCTCTGAAGCAGTGTTGACATCTTTGAGTCACAAATGAGACCTGCAGAGAAATGGCAGAGAAATAAAAGCTCAGGCTTGTTGCTCCAAGTCTGTAATCCTGCTCCTGTAAGTTAACAGAAACTTCAAGACACTTAGAGGATCTAGCATTACACGTGTTGTTTTAGATGTAGTTGTTCCTTTAATTATATGTTAAGATTCACAGTAGATACTTTTCTTCTTTTACTTTCACTGTCCCATTGAAAATATCCATATGTTTATATGTGTCTCATAAATAATGCATAGTTAGATGGTCTTTTACTGTGACATGGGACATTTACAGCACTTACACAAACATCTGGGACTATCTCACCTTCTCAGTGTGGTATTTTCTATTTGCTCCACAGACATTTTACATTACTTACTATAGCTTCTTTAAAATTCTTATTTTTCTCCTCCAATTATTTCTAATTTTAAGACTAGAAACTTGGTATTATTTTTCTTCCTTTTTTATTAGTTCTTTGAGAATTTTCAGTTTCCTATAACATATTTTGGTGATGCTCATTTCTCAAAGCCACCTCACATCTACTGCCTTTTCCATATCCACCAACTTTGTGTCCTTTTTATTAGTTCCTTCAAGACCAATTGTACCCCTAAAATATTCCTAGCTGTGTGTTCTTATACTGGATCATGACTGACTTACCAGTCCGTAGCTACACTTTTGGAGATAACTGATTCTTCCTTTCCCAGAAGCTAACAAGTGCCAATAGCTCCATGTCTAAGAGTGGGGTTCTATGCTCAACTCCTCTTTCTAAACCAGGATTTGGTCTAATTTGGACTTACACAGGTTTGTACAATAAAGGTGTAAATTAGTTGATGTCTTTACCTTGCTCTTTAGATTACTTTTAAGTCCAAATACCCTCCTTCCATCTTATATATTTATATTGTCACTAATGTTCATCTTAATTATAATTTTTAAGATTCATAAATACAATAAACTTCATAAAATGCCATGCATTTTGTTTTATGTAGTTTGTTTTCCTCCAATTTTATTTATGTGTGTCATTTACATCTAGCATTATGTTGTTTTAACTTTAAAGTGTTCTCTTGGCATGGGTCTTCTTGGAATGTGCCTACCTTAAAGAATATTTCTACTGGGTGCATTTCTCAGTTGACAGCTACTGCCTTTCAGCATCTTGAGATTGTCATGTTATTCTTTTGAGCCCTTGTTTCCATTGTTGCTTTTGAAATCTACCGCTTCCATCTTTCTTTGAAAGTAACCTTACAGTCCTCTGTAATTGGTTTGAAAGTCTCTTGCCGTTGGTGTTCTTCAGCTTCAAGGTGATGTATGTGGGCTTCTTCACATTTATCTTGAATTTAATCATCTCTGTACTTCATCATCACTTCTGGAATATTTCAACCCCTTTTTTCTTCAGATAGTGCCTCTTGCTCCCTTCTCGTTTTGTAAGTCTGAGAAGAGTAATGCTAGACTTCTAACCTTATCCTCCACAGGCCCCCATCCCAACATGCTCTGTGCAACTTCCCTACATGCTAGACTGTGATTCTGGTTAATTTATTTACATTTATGTCTTAGTTGGTAAAATTTTTTCCAGTTTTATCTAATCCAAAATTAAAATGATCTTTGGAGATTGTAATTTCAAGTATATTTTTAGCTTTATTTTTCTCAAATCTAAACATTTTCATAGTTA